TTACCATGGCAGCCGGGGAGTCCACGATTGCTGACCTTCGGGATTTCGGTGTGCTAGCGCATCGACAGTAATCAGTTCAGTAATCATCGCCTCCCTGGTCGCCATAGTGACGCTCAGGGGCCAAATGGCTGAACTGAAGGATCTCAGGGAGAGTAGCGTAGTGCTTGTTAGAATGCCACTCTGATCTGTGGGGCGAGGTCGATTATTCGATGCGCTCGACACCCCACTTCGCCACAACCACGCCCGTGCACCACCCCTCCATTATTGCCTTGCTTTGGGCTGTGTTCCCGCCGGATGAATCACATGGCCTCAAGAAGGTGCCCATATGGCCCAAGAAGCCCCCGCACCGCCACAACATGGCCCAGGATGACCCAAGTTGGCCCTGGGAGTCCCCAAGAAGCCCCAAAGTGGCCCCAAGAGGCTCCAAGATGGCTCCGCGAAGCGCAGACTTCTAGAAGCCACCAACCCCCTTTGGAGACCATGAGAGGCCTGTAGATTCCCTCGACAGTCTTTCAGGGTCCTCTACAGCGTCGTGGCGTTCGTCGCCGTCGACCTTCTTCGTCGTTGCCGCCATCGTCACCGCCGTCGAAGCACGTCGCCGCTGCCGTCGCCGCGGCGCCGTCCTCGCCGCCGTCGCCGTCGCCGTCGCCGTCACCGTTGTCGTCGTCGCCATCGCCGCCGCCACCAGTGTCGGCGGTGAAGCCATCGCCGTCGTCAACCCCGTCGCCACTGTCGTCGTCGTCGTCGTCGTCGTCACCGCCGTCGCCGCCGTATTTGCCGCCATCGTAGCCACCGTCGCCGTCATCGCCGTCGTCGTCGCCGTCACTTTCGTCGCCCTCGCCGTCGCCACGTCGCTGCCGTTGTCACCACCGTCGCAGTCGTCGTGGTCGTCACCGCCGTCGCCGTTGTCGCCGTTTCTCTCGTCGTCAGCCGTCGCCGTCAGCATCACTATCGCCAGTGCCATCGCCAGTCTCGGCATCACCGCGGCGATCTCTGTGTCCGTCCTCATGACATTAGCGCACCCTCGGCGTCTTTCGGAGTCCTCTGGAGCGTTGTCGCGCCCTAGCCGTCGCCTACGCCGTTGTCGCCGTCGCCTTCACCGCCGTCGCCGCGTCGCCGTCGGTCGTTGTCGCTGCCGTCTCCGTTGTCGCCGTTGTCGCCGTTGTCGTCGCAATCGTCGCCATCGCTGCGGCGCCGCCGCAATCGCTGCTGTCGCATCCGTCGTCGCCGTCACCGAGGTCGCCGCCGTGCACGTATGCGTCGTCCACGTCGACGTCGCCGCCGCTGTCGCTGCGTCGCCGCCGCAGTCGCCGTCGTCGTCGTCGTCGATGTCGCCGCCGTAGCCGCCGCCGTCAACCATCACCGTCAGATCACACCGTCATTACTATAAACAGGCTAATCAGCACCGCGACGACATCGTTGACCGTCTTCATAACGAACAACGCAAACAAGGAAACCTGAGCCTGCTCCGCCTTTCGTGGCCATCCCACAATCAAACCAACTCACCAGAAGGACCCGGCTTCGGTTGGCACCGTGGCACCGTTCGTGAGACATCCTTGCCTCCTCCTGCTCCTCCTTTTCCTGCTGCTCCTCTTCCTTCTTTTTCTCCCTGTTGCCTCCTCCCCAACTGTGGTGCGAACTGTAAACAGCATCATGATAACAAGGCTTCAATGGTGCAGCGCAGCGAGTCAAAGAAAATTGGCCTCTCGATAGGTGTGCGTTGCTCACGTGTTGGCCTCATGGCTCCAAAATTAGCCCCAGCAGCCTCCGAAATGGTTCAAGGAGCCCCCAAGAAACTCCAAGACGGGCCAGGAGACACCCAAGACGACCCAGCTGGCATCCAAGACGGGCCCACGACGGCCCCGATTCGGCCCCCATGCGGCCCAAGACCCCCCAAACAGTCCCGAGTGCTCCCAAAACTGCCCCCGGATCCTCGAAGGGACGCGGAGATGGACCAGAGAGGCCCTCGCCCATGAGGGCTCCAGAAGACCCCCGAGAAGACCCCAAGGCGACCCCGAGGGGACCCCAGGACGGGCGCGCAGACGCTCAGCCACGTGCTCGTCGAAGCCAGGGCCCTCGACCACTCACTGTTTCAGGCACTTACGCTTAGGTCGTGCATGTCCCCCTACAGGCGGATCTACAAATACTCAAACAAATATAAAATAAAAAAGTCACATAATACTTAAACAAATCGTCCCCTGACTATTTCTTTACTATCTTTGAGTATTCCTCCTGTAGAAGGGCATGCCCGACTGAAACTTACGCGCCAGTTTCAGCAGGGTGTCCACTTTCCCAAGCGCGGTGGCAGGCACGCGCGGCAGCGCAACTGGATAAGGCCCCGTTCTCCGAGAGCTGGATCGTGAAGGGCCCAGCAGGCCTGCGCACACATACAGCGGCGCCACACACCTCTGCCCTCAAGCCCTGGCTCTGGAGGTGTGTCAGAGCCTCCACGACGTTCCAGCTATTCAGAGGAACGCGCACCGAGCATTCCTCTGGGCATGTACCATTCACACATGCACCACGGCCCGGTGTCATTTCCCAAGAAACTCTGGCAAGGCCCGATGTCAGCCAGATCTCTCCTGAGGCCTTCGGTAGAAGTGGATCATATGCATCCAGAGTTGTCCCCAGCTCAATGGGCAACCTGTCCACCCGAAGGCCGACCAGATCGGTAAAAAACCAAGCTCCGATGGAAGTGAAGGCTGGATGGTTGTGACTTGACATGACATCGCCGCTGGGGTTGTGGTATGCATCCCAATGCTCCCAAATCGTGGTAGCACCGTTTGCGACCATGTAGCCCCACGAGGGGAAGCCAGTCCCACTTGCCAGGCGTAAGCCGAGAGACGTCCGATTGTACCTAGAGAGCACTGGGAACAACCACTTTGTCGCGATGATTCCCGTTCCAATGCAGTCTCTCTCGAGCAGGTCGAGAAGACGCTTTAGCGCCAAGCCTTCGTGAGTTGTGTCGAGCCCCCCCAGGTATAGCGCGAAAACCTGCGGTGCCTGGGTGCCATCACCGAAAGCTGATACTTGGGGGTTCCAATATGTCGCTTCGAATACCTTCACCATGTCAGCTAGTTCGGATGCGAACCGTGAACGGGAAGCGGAATCGCCAAGCGTGCTAGCAATTTTTACCGCCAAGATGCTATTGAAGCCAGCAGACATTTCGCTGACAATGGGATCACTTGCAACCTTGCCTGGTTGCAACCAATCGCCGTAATAGTGGTACTTAACCGTGCCATTCTGTCGCATTGACAACAAGAATTCCGCCCAAGCATGTAACGCCGGTACAAATTGTACGGCGTCGTCCTCGCCGTAGTAGCGGTTAACGAGGTCCACGAGAAGAGGTAGAGCTGCACCCCATGAAGGGTCTGCTGGACGGTGACCATACACCCCTGCGGGATGTGGACTAGTGTCTGTGACTGCGCCGAAGCAAGTCCCGTTGATGCCACCCCCAGGGACAGTAATGTCGCAATCTCTGGCGTACGTTGACTGCTGGGCGTCGACAATGACTTGAAGCCAATTAAGGTAGAAGCGGCGCATATCGAAATTTAACACAGCCTGCTCGGCCGACACCGATGCATCTGCCATCCATCCTTGGCGCTCATCGCGCTGAGGGCAATCAGTTGGTACGGAGTGAAGGTTGTCAACTTGGGTCCAGCGAATCGCCTCCTGCACCTTTGTTAACACGTCATTTGCCATCCGCAGAGAGCTGCGAGATTTCACGTCCGAGTGCACCACGCGCGCCCTCTGGTCGGCCCACGACCAATCAACATCTCCAGTCACGATGATTTCGGCAAAACGAAAGCCATGGTATGTGAAGCGAGGCTCGTGCCGAACAGCACCTCCGCGGCAGATGTACACGTCGGTCGCCCTCGCAGCTCGCAAATTCCCAACATAAAGAGCGCTGCGATTACTGTAAAGAAACTCCGCGTGTCGGACGGTCACCGTAGAGCCCAAGCTGCAGGCACGAAGTGACAATCGCAACCACCCAGCGATGTTCTGGCCAAAATCTAGTATAGTTGATCCCATCGCGGTTCGAGTCACAAACTCTGGCACTCGCAATGAGAGTGCGCGAATAGGCTCCATGAGCTCTGGTGACAGGGTCGCTCCAACAACCTGCGGCGGTGGTTTGCCTGCCACTGCTTTGGGCCACGTTGATGCACCGTCGGTTATCAACCAATCCCGCTGCTCTAAGCGCGCATCGTACGTCTCCCCTGTATAGATATCGTTGGTAATGATTGGGCAAGCACCTGTGGTCCAAGGAGCATCTGTTCCAAATGACAGCGTTTTCTCTTGCATTCGGATACGCATGCCAATCGTGATGGCTGGCATGTTCCCAAGATGGCCAAACCAACCAGCGCCAAGTACCATGCCAACGACGTTCGCGCCTTTCCTGAGGAGCCCCGTCACGTTGTAGGATGGCACGCTGAGACGCGTATCCCACTGAGTCCACGCTGGCTCGAGCGCAGTCGTCGGATCCACCTTGGCACCATTCATCCAGATCTCCCCATAGCCCGCTGCCGCCATCTGCACCGACCCTTCAGTGGGGACCGAGGGCAGTGAGAACTCGTAGCGGTAAAGCGCACATCCGTCGGTCCTGTCCAGGCTGAACCATGTCAAGTTCGTGGCGACGCGCGCAACCAGCGCAGCGTGCAGTGGCAGCGCCATGGCGAGAGGCGCGCGATATCGGCGACGCCAAATTGTGCACCTCGCCTGCGCGCGAGCCAAACCCTGCCACGGATCGCAGAGGAGTGGCCTCCCAAACTTGATCGCGGTGGTCCGGATTTGGTGCACGGGCCGGACCCTTACAGGTGTTTTTTTTTTCTCTGGGCGATGCTCACAAGGTCCAAGGATGCCAAGAGCGGTGTCTGTGGGCGTCCCGGCTCGCAGTGTCCTGCGACCTGCCCGGCTCGCCTGCTCGATCTGGCTGCTGTGCGCGCCCGCTCTCACGTGGCGTACTTCTGCACCCACTCGCGCGCCGTCTGGTCGTGCTTCTCCCGGGTCTTCAGGTACGCCTGCGCGATCTCGGGGACCAGCGGGTCGCTCGGATTCGGGTCCGTGAGCAGCGACGAGATGGAGAGCAGCACCTTCGAGATGGTGAGCGCGGGGCTCCACTGGTCCTTCAGGATGTCGAGGCAGATTGCCCCGTTGGAGTTGACGTTGCAGTGGTAGATCTTCGTCGTGAAGTGAACCTTTGGCGGCTTGAACGGGTAGTCGGAGGGGAAGTTGACGTTCAGGAAGAATACGCCGCCCTGGTACGCCGAGTCCGGAGGGCCCATGATGGTCGCCTGCCAATTGAACAGATCGTCTCCGACGGGTCCCGCTGAGCAATTCGCGGGAGGGTCGTTGCCCAAGTCCGCCAGCTCCTTCTGGATCCGCTTCAGCGCCATCGCGGCGGCCGCCGGCCCCGCGCCCTCGCGGGGACTGCCGTGATCAGCCCTCGGCAGCTCGACCGGGATCAGCTTGAGCCAAAATGGCTACGGAGGCCGGACCCTTACAGGTGTCGGAAACAATCAAGCAACACTCATGCAAACACTCCCTCCTACCCACCACATGCAATGTTGGTTTCGGATGTTCCGATTTAGGGCCTCCGAGTGGTCTTCGAGGAACGTACCAACTTTGAATTGCGGGGGAGGGGAGAAGTGTTGCCTAATTTCTTCCCTCCACCGCATAACGCCCCCGTGCCCCCCGACGGCGCCACCCATCAGACACCGCCGGCGTCGAGCGTCTCGTGGTTCTGCGAGCGGGCGTTACCGGGGGGCCTCTCTGCGGGGCGCGGCGCCCTCCTCCTCCTCCTCCTCCACCTCCTCCTCCTTCTCCTCCTCCCCCTCCTCCTCCTCCTCCTCCCCCTCCTCCTCCTCCTCCTCCTCCACCACCACCTCCTCCTCCTCCTCCTCCTCCTCCTCCTCCTCCTGCTCCTCCTCCTCCTGCTCCTCAACCGCAGCTCCCCGAGCGTGGCCCCAAGAGGGCCCCTGGCCGCGCCGGACCCGCCACTGCGGGCGCCGTGACGCTCCCCGACGGAGCCCTCCCGTCGGCCCCCGCCTGCCGCCTCGACACTCCCTCGGCGCCCAAGGGACGAGGAGGAGGAGGAGAAGGAGGAGGAGGAGGAGGAGGAGGAGGAGGAAAAGGAGAAGGAAAAGGAGGAGGAAAAGGAGGAGGGGGAGGAGAAAGAGGAGGAGGAGGAGGAGGAGGAGGAGGAGGAGGAGGAGGAGGAGGAGGCGCCACGCCCCGCAAAGAGGCCCCCAGTAACGCCCGCCCGCGGAGCCACGAGACGCTCGACGCCGGCGGCGTCCGATGGGGGGCGTCGTCGGGGAGCACGAGGGTGTTGTACGGTTGAGGGTCCTGAGAGAATCGGATCCTGGACCACGGGGCTTTTCCAAGGGCGGGCTCCTCATCCTGAGTCGTTTCTTGACGGCCCCGGGGCCCAGGGAAGGTCCCCGGGATGGCGAAACACCTCGGGACTCCTTTCCATCAAGATCCCTTCTCCTCCTCGTCAGGCTCGCCAAAGAGGGAGGCCAGGGCTGCTCGGGCGCATCTTGGTCCGAGGCGTGTGCGCGGACGAGGGGGGAAAAGGGGGCGCACCCAAAGAATAGAGGGCATGGGATAGGGGAGACTTCATGGGCCTGGCCATGAAGCCCCCGGGAGGAAACGATGGGGGGGACCAGCTCGGGAGGGCAAACATCGAGCTTGAACCGGCGACTACATCGCCGATAGATCGGCCACAGGCCTCCGATAGCGAAGTCGCACGCTCCTTGGCGAGGTGGACTGTCAGGCCCCTTGCGGCGATGAGCGGGCGATTGGGATTTCGTTGCATCCCCCACGGACCCCGGCCCCCACGCTGCCCCTGACCCCCAGCAGCCCGAGCCACAGCCCGAGCACGAGCCCGAGCCTAGGGCCGAGCCCCGGCCCGAGCGCCCGAGCCCGAGCCTCGGAGCCCGAGCCGCGAGCTGTAGGCCCGGCCCGCCTTGCCCCCCCCCCCCCCCCCCTGCCCTGAGAGCCGACGCTGCGAAAATAAAAAATGCCGCGGCACCGCGACACATCACGAGACCGCAGCCCCAGCTGCAGCTCCTCCTCCTCCTCCTCCTCCTCCTCCTCCTCCTCCTCCTCCTCCTCCTCCTCCTCCTCCTCCTCCTCCTCCTCCTCCTCCTCCTCCTCCTCCTCCTCCTCCCCCTCCCCCTCCCCCTCCTCCTCCTCCCGACCTCAGGGGCCGTCGACACCCCCCCCGACCGTGGCGGCAGCGCGCATGGCGGGTCACGGTCTGGTGCGCGTCCACTGCTGTAGGATTCGCGATGCAGTCGGACCTGGGCTTCTGTTGACAACAGAAGCCTGCCGCCTCGACTCCCTCGGCTAATGTTGACAACAGAAGCCTGCCGCCTCGACTCCCTCGGCTTATGTTGACAACAGAAGCCCAGGCTTAATTATGTTGACAACACATGTCCTTGAAAAAGGATGGAAGCCATGTTCCCATCGTACTTGGGGAGCACATCTCCAAACTGATTGCGAGCACCCAGGGAAGCATCGTATAACGGCACACTGGCGAAGTGCCGAGCGAGCATCGCCTCCCAGGGACCCACACGTGAAAGCCATGCAGTTCGGATACTTTTTTGGTGCTCGAAAGTCTGTCTGGTGATCAAGGCTAAAGTAGGTTGGAGCAGCATAAACCTGGGCCAAGAAGACCATCCCTCAAGAACATGAGATCCTCCGTCGGCCAAAACAAACAGGACATTTAGGGGTAAGCTCCACAGGATGCACAAGAACACCCAACGAGCACGAAGAACACTAGGGATACCATCCCCGAACCGACCTCGATCTGAGACCTCGGTCCGACCGCAACGCCCGTGACCGGCCCCGCGGGTCACGTCACGAATCGCGTCGAAGCCGTGTGGGAATTGGGCATGCCCAGACGGCGCCAGCGCGAATCGCGACGTGACCCGACGGGTCACGTCGCGTGAGGGAGGAGGAGGAGGAGGAGGAGGAGGAGGAGGAGGAGGAGGAGGAGGAGGAGGAGGAGGGAGAAGGAGGAGAAACAAAAGAGGAGGAGGAGGAGGAGGAGGAGGAGGAGGAGGAGGAGGAGGAGGGTGGAAGAGGAGGAGGAGGAGGAGGAGGAGGAGGAGGAGCAGGAGGGAGGAGGAGGAGAGGAGGAGGAGGAGGAGGAGGAGGAGGGAGGAGGAGGAGGAGGAGGAGGAGAGGAGGAGAAGGAGGAGGAGGAGGAGGCGAGGGGGGAGAGGACGGCGTCCTCTCCCCCCCTCCCCTCCCCAGACATCCGGTGCCTTGAGCATCTCCATGCGGGTTGCCTCGAGGTCTGGACCTTCTGCTGCCTATAGGGCCAGGTCCTGCGTCCGGTATCGTTCCTGACGGTCCTCTGGTTCCCTGCGCGGGCCCTGGAGGGGCCGAAGACTGAAAAGAACCTCCGCCTCGAGCGCACCGACCTTGCAGACGTGCTGCAGCGGATGTTGCGTGGATTTCTGTCAGCGCAAAACCCCAGAGCGGCGAGCGAAAAACGAAGTGATATCCGCGTGGATTTTGGTTACAGTCTTCATTCCTGGCAAAACAAAAAAAACGCACGAAATTCATGTCGAAATCAGGAACGAAATTCTCCAGGACGTTTCAGGCCCATTCTGTTGTTTTCTAAACGAAATCCGCTCTGCGATACTGGCGCCATGAGACGTTGAAGTGTGGGTCCCCCCCCTCACCAGTCACGTCCGTTATCGCCAGGTCGTGCAAAACGATCCCCATCGGGGATGCACTAATCTTACGTCGGGCATGGCCCCCTACAGGCAGATTTTGGAGGACATATCAAATTTATTCCAAAAATGCAAGAAACAAATGACAGCAAAATAACGGACAAATCGCCCCCGTACTACTATTTGACCATTTTTGAATACTCCTCCTGCAGAGGGACACGCCCGACTTCACACTAATCCCGGTCGGCAGCGCGCCTGGGCCAGCCGAGGCCACGTCGCGAACCCACGCCCGGCCACGAAGCAGCTCCCGATAGCCCTACTACCCGGGGTCGGCACCTAGGCCTGGACCAGCCCGGGCCACGTTGCGAACCCAGGCTGGCCACGCACGCGCTCCCAAAGCCGGGCCAGCGAAGACCCAGACCTCCTCGCGTTGTGAAAAAATCACGACGGAAAGTTTTCCGCAATTTTCGGCTGTCAGGACACAATCAGGACGAGAAACCGGTCCCGGGGAAACCCGGGACCGAATTTTCATCCCCGGCCATTCTCTGACGGAGACCGGGTTAGTTCCCGATCCTTGACTCACCCGGATCCCCAACTCACCCAATCCTTGATTCACCCGCGCCGAGATCACCCGGTCCTTAACTCGCCTTAATCCACCTGGTCTTATTCACCCGCCCTTCACTCACCCGTTGGTGGATTCACCCACCCTTAACTCTAGCAGCGCCTGACTCACATGATGCTTTCACCCGGTGCTTTCACCCGGTGCTTCGCTCACCCGGTCGCTGACTCACCCAATCGAATTTTTTGACTATTTCTGCATTCCCCCTGTAGAGGGACAGGCCCGACTTACACCTGGTGCCCCGCTCGCCCGGCACTGCAGTCATCCCGCGCCTCACTTGCCCGGCGCTCCACTTGCCCAGCCCTTGCCCGCCCAGCGCCTGGCTCACCCAGCGCCTATCCCACCTGGCGTTAGGTCGGCCATGTCCCCCTACAGGCGGATTTTTAAAATTTGGACGAAACATTACAAAAGTAGTCACACACACACATATGTATCTATATATCTATATATCTATATATATATATATGTATATATATATATATATATCGTACCTTGGACATCGAGGTCAGAGCGCCCGACTAAGACTCGAAGGGCGCTCGGGAGTGGTCGACTAGGGCCCGTGTAGCCCTGCGGATAGCATAATAGAAGCGGCCCCTGGCAACCTCGGAGTCGAGAGGGCTGGGGCCAGGAGCCGTGCGCACAACATTACACATGTGATAAGCACGCGCAATCCGCTGAACCTCTTCAGGAGACGGTGCCCCAGAGAGGCCGATGCGAGTGGCCAAGCGCGCAGGGGGCTCGGCAGGGTGATATACAAGGCCCCGGAAAACTAGACAACGAACGCAATGATACATGTCATCACGGCAGCCGACACAAAAGAAACGACATCCTCGAACGTCGGAACTACGCAGACGAGCACTCGTGAGCCAGGCCCCCCCCCCCTACTGTGTTTAGGACCGCGCTTTGCCATGAGGGCGGGCCACCATCCTTTGCGAGGTCCCTGAGGGAGGGCCCAACTCTGGACATCAAAAACAACTTTCCAGGAGGTGGGGCGTTTCGAAGTCGTGCCCTGTAGGACATCAGGGAAGAGAGAAGCACGGAGGGAGGAGGAGAGATGCCCCTGGACACGCGCCCTCTCTGGCCCAGC